ATAATAAATCTTATGTTGAGAAGAATTTAGTTTCGTAATATGAAAATTTTATTAAGACTTTATAATGAGAGCTTTAATTACTTAAAATCAAGAAATATGCTATTTCAAATACTTGATTATATTGAAAAATTTTCTTATTATTTGTATTTATGAAAATTACAAGGTATCAAAAATCGTATTTTAACATAAAATTTATAATCAAAATCACAAGGTATCAAAAAATTTTATTTTAACTGAAATTTATAATCAAAAAATCAATCATCAATTATTTCAATTATATCAGAAGTATTAATTGGGCCTGAAATTGGATCCATATCAGCAGTACTGTCTATTGCCTCAAGATATAACCTCTCATTAGTGACTGTTTTGTAACTTCTTGTAGAAATACCTAACAATAATTCTAAATCCTCGATCCTGTTTTTTAAAAGACGAATTTGTGAATGAAGATCAGATTCACTTTGGTCTCTTCGTTGTATTTCGTTCTCATGAGTTGCTCTAAAAATTTTATGTTTGTTATTCTCATTTTCTAATTTCAATTGCAACTCATGAATCTACAAAAAAGTGAATTATAAAAAATATAAGAAAATATTTAAGGTATTATACTTAAAAAGTAATTTTTATTTACTTTTGTTGCATTTTTGTGCCTTTCGGCATCCGCCAAATTAAAATTGTTTCTTAATAATTTGACATCACTCATTAATTTTCCAATCTATAGTTAAAAAATATGAAAGTAAATTAAACAAAAAAGTATAAAAAAATATATTAACAATAATTTCTTATAAAATTTACATCAATTGTTAAGCTTTCGATCGAGTTATCCTTTTCTTTATTGTCCAATTTTAATGTCGAGACTTCTCTCGTCAAGTTATCGATATCTTCATTCTTTTTATCAATTTCCATTCTCATCAAATTCGAATCTGAATCCGCTTCGTTTTCTTCTAGTTTTTTGATTTTATTTTTAGCAGTTTCAAGTTGTTCTCTAAGACTTCTAACTTCTTTGCATAAGCTAGTTGAAGAATATCAATAATCAGTAATTATAACTTACTTAAAAATACTTATGATTAAAAAAAAAACACCTTTCAATTTCTTCATCACTCTTTCTTTTTAAACTATTAAAATCTGAATAAATCAATTGAAAAATTTCAAGATCCTTCTCATTAGCATCTTTAGCAGATTCTTTCAAATGGTTGAACTATTGAATTTTTTCGTCTGCTTGCGCATTGCATTTTTGTCTACGAAGAATTCTCAAATATGCTTCAATAGTTTTAATTAGTTGGGTCATATTATATAATCTTTCGTTTCTTTTTGCTTGTCTATTGCTATGAACTTTTTTCCTTTGAAAAGCTTGTTGTTTTAATAAGCTTAATGTGGTTTTATGTACTCTTTTGGCATGTCCGTCTATATCTTTATAATGGTTACCACATTCTGGACATTTTGGATTTCTACTTGATGGACCTCTATTATGAGGAGGCATTCTTTTTTTGGGAGTTATTTAGAACTATTTAGAACTATTTATATCACATTCTAATATGGAAATTTTTTGAAATTTTTCAAAATCGTGTGAAATTTTTGATTTGTTAAATAATCTACGGTTTACATCGATTTCTATGAATGCATAATATAAAAAAAAAATTTCTAAACCAAATATTCACAGATTAAAATAACGTAGATTATTTATATTGTATAGTATAATTTATAGAACAGGAGAAACCGTTAATGTTACACCAAGTGAGGGATTATATCCAATAAATAATTTTATTGTTGATTGACTACATCGTGTGAAAAAAATAGTAAAATCACTCAACGATGATAACCTACGCTATCTAACAAACTTCAGCAATTTGAATCAGAATAACTCTACTTTCAAACTAAAATCATATAATAAGGGGAGTTTTTTTTTATAACATTTCTTTCATTTTATACTACCGATATTCACTTTCTTTATTCGTTTCTTAGGGAAAATTTTGATTCATAACTTCAGCAATTTGATTCTTATTGAATCAGATTTGTCAGGTATCCGTATCGGAATATCAACTTTGGCAATTTGATCTTTAACAAAATTAAATCTGTCAGGCATCCGTGTCGGGATGTTATTAACTTAGGGGAGTAACAGCATATGATGATAAATTATGTAAAAGTGATTGTACAATTCAAAAT